CCCCAAAACCCCAAAACCCCAAAACCCCAAAACCCCTGTAATTAAGGAGGGTATAGGGATTATAAAAATTTATGGGTTTAGAAATGGAATGAAAGGAGTAAGTGGATTGGGGTGTTTGATGGCCGAGAGGGCAGTTTTAGGTGGATTTTTGGAGTTGAGACTGATTGGGGAATTAGATTAAGAAATTTGAGGAATCTTGGTTAGAGTTAAAGGGGTTTAGTGATGTTATAGACTTGAGACTGCTCTTCTGGAGATTGAGATCATGAATGACTCTAAAATGTGCAAAAATGTTGATTACAGATTTCACCCAAATAAATTTCATTTTCCCAAACAAGGATGAATACTCCAATATAAAGAAGGATATGATGAATCTATTTGAAAGAATATGAGTGGAAAAAGAGAACTTAATTACTTAAAAACTATCACACCATTCATTTGTCATAATACTAAATTAATTGGAATCTTTCAAGTTCAAAAGAAGTCGAGACATCTCCGGAAGTTCCTACAGTCTTCAATCTCTTGAACTCTTACAAAGTTTTGTTTCCAATTTGAAGACTCTTATAGGCACTATAGTCATTGGTATTTTGGTGAAATTATGAGAATAAGTCCAAGAGTAAACAAGAAAGTAGATCTGACTAATTTCAATCTGAATTTCAGTCAACTAAAAGGAGTTCTAACCTCATCCAAGCATATTAGGTCAATATTATTATACAAATGCAAACTTATGATCCCAGATGTTCCAGATTTCTCTGATTCTCTCAACAATGCTCAGGTCAGATACCTCAGATTGTACTCAACACTCTTCTGGGAGGAAAATGACATTGAGAATAGTTTTGAAGCGTTGTCTAATTTTATTCAAGGGCTAGCAACTTCTGAAGACTTTAGAGCATCTCTGAAGAAATTGAAGGTCAAATTTTGTAGCTTAGACAGAAATAAAGTGCAAGCAGTTCTTGATGAGAATGGATTAAAGGGAACTTAACTTGGGCTTAAGGGTTAGTAATATCTTCAATCTTAAGGATGATTACTGGGGTTTTGGGGTTTTGGGGTTTTGGGG